GAGATCAGCCCTCCGTTCGGTGTTCCACAACCACCGATCCTACATGGCAACCGCTGATCCTACATGGCAACCACTGATCCTACATGGCAACCACTTATCTTTGATCGTACATGGCATCGCCCCCCATCATTCCGTTTTTGCCATCGAACTTTACCGAAAAACAAAACAAAAACAAACTAAAAAAAACAGAAAAACAGCGAATCCCCATTGCACTTTGTGGGGGAGAGGAGATCAGCCCTCCGTTCGATGTTCCACAACCACTGACCGTACATGGCAACCACTGATCTTTGATAGTACATGGCATCGCCCCCATCATTCCGTTTTTGCTTTCGAACTTTACCGAGAAAGAAAGCCAAAAAAAAACATAAACAAAAATAAAAAAAAAGAGCAAACCCCCATCGCACTTTGTGGGGGAGAGGAGATCAGCCCTCCGTTCGCTGTTCCACAACCACTGATCCTACATGGCAACCACTGATCTTTCATCCTACATGGCATCGCCCCATCATTCCATTCTTGCAGTCCAACGTTTTCGAAAAAAAACACAAAAAACAAAAAAATGCATGGGTCCTGGGGACCATCTCACGCAGATGTGTACATGTCATGCATCATCATCTTCCACACACAATGAACAGTAGTCTGACAATAGACAAAGGTAGAGAAGATGAGAACCGAGTTTCACAGCTTATATTATCAAAAATATGAATACAAAGTGTTTCAAAGTTTCCCTGAGTCCAGCGCTCATCAGCGCAACACAAATCTCTGCTCAACTCATCAATATGCCTTCCAGGGCATCAGCACTTTCCCTGCAGATTGTCTCCCAGTCATCAACATAGTCATAACTCATCAGCGCCAMCTCAGCAGATCACAACCAACTCAGGTAAGTGTCTCCCATAGCCAAACCTCGAGTGCACACTCTTCGTCCCAGTCTCTTCCTCCTATGATGCATACACACACTGTTTTCACAAGGATCTACTCTGAATACTACTCATAGCTAAGTACTAACCTTTCTAACCTACTTGCTAACTCGCTGGGCAGCTATGGCTGCATCTCTTCCAGCATGCAGGCTTCTCCCTTCACTCAGCGCATCTGCTCCTTCCAGCGCTGCTCCTACTAGCTCAGCGCACAAGTGCACCAGCACTTCCACGCATAGAATGCTAGTGGAGATCTGGCGAGGAATGAGGCTGGCTGCCTCCTTTATACTCCTCGCTGGGTCTGCATTGGCTCAATTCAGCCTCTTTCCTTGTCCCAGACCCTGCATTGCATGTGTCCCAGTAGAGTCCCAATGAAATTCAACTGCTGCTGAGGCCTCCCGGCCTGAATTTGGACTTTGAAAATCTGGATCTGGACTGACCCCTGGACTTAGACCAGAACTGGGACTGTGCCTATTGACTTTACCTTCAGACAGACACAACTTTCAACGAACAGACACATTTACTGCTTGAACAGACACTTTGCTTTGCACGAACAGGTACACTGCCTGCACGTACAGACACACTCTTACCCGAACAGACATCTCCTGGGGAACAGGTAAGTCTTTTGACAATGCCCTTTGCCTTAGCTTTAGATGTGCCTGTTGATAGAGAACTTGACCTTTGATCTGCTTTCACGTTTCTG